CTGTAGCCGCCTCATAGTTTGCTCTTTATTTTTTCAAAAATCATTTCTAGGTACATAAGTATCTATTTAATCATAGAAACACCAAAAAAATTCCAAGATTCAATCACTAGCTAGGAACGGTCATGACCGCCGTTTTGACCGCATTTTGAAACGGGCATAAAAAATTAAAAAAAATCAAAAAATTGGAAAACCTTCGCATTGTGTCATTATATGTGACCAAGTTTCCAGGAAAAATAATAAACTTGTAATACGGAAATTATTTTTAAAAGGTGTTCTCAGAAATGAGCTATCATGCGTGAAGATTCATGACTTTCTAGCCAAATGATCAATCTTATGGCCACATTCATGGCATAGTTTGTTCAAATGATCTCATATTGTGCACGAGGATGCATCTTGGAATTCCAAACAATGTTGCCTAAGAAAGTTTTCATTTTCTTTGCACGGAAAATTCATTTTTCATTTTCTGAGTGGCCAAAAGGAGGTTTTTTTTGTGAAGGAACTACCAAATAATTGTTGCAAAATTGGACCTAATCAATTTTATAAAATACTAGGCCATATATAATGCACAATTGACAAAATGGTTGGGTGTCAAATTTTTTGATCCACCTGTGGTGAAAAAGACAAATTCCTGTTGATTTAGGTGGAAGCGTGTCAAATTTGAACTGCAGCTGCCTCATAGTTTGCTCTTTATTTTTTCCAAAAATCATTTCTAGGTAAATACGTATCTATTTAATCAGAAATACATGGTTTGATGGCGAGACATCGATGTTTGGACGGTGGCCGAGGGCCCCAACTCTAGAGCGCGAAAGCTCGCATGCCCGCCGGTGTGCTCACCGCGTGACCGTGGCGTTGCCATGTGTTCTGGGCGGCCTAGGCATGTCTAGTAGGTTGGGCACTCCCTAGGTAGGTGCTAGGAAGAAAATCACAACATAAGATTCTCACGAGGAGACTGATCGATGCTCAAACATGAATAAGCAGCCAAGTGTTTGATTTGCGGTACGGGAAATGCACATGGCTAATGGGCGTGAGTTTTGGCTGAGGATGATCAGTTACTAAGAAGACCGTCTTCACAAATTTTCAGCTCAAAAGGAGGAGCCTATGTGGTACTTGCTTTGCAAACTACCACACTGGACATAAAAACGAATGTTGAAGCTCGGCTCAAAATAATGAATGGATCGAGCTGGCATTTGGTGGAGGATGGTTATTTGGGCATAGAAAAGCACTGTAGAAAATGGATACTATTTGGACATGCCAAAGTGGTACTTCCTTCACAAACTGTTGTTCTGAACAGAATAGGAAAATGAATATATTTGAATCATTTTTGAACTAGGCAAGGAAGGTTTTTACATATTTGACGAAGATATGACCCAAAGAATTTATGAGATTTTTTGGGGAATTTTGGGAATGACAGAAATATAGGTTGCTTCACAACCTAGGGCAAAAACTGCCACATGGACATAATGACACATAGGCAAAACTAATGAGGTGGCGCCTAGTCATAGCAACCCACCACAATTTACAAGGCTATGACCATCTATATTGGTCGTTAGCAACTAGAAATAAGGCAGCGGACTAGCGCTGTTTGCTTTATGACCTTTTCGTGTAAGGAAATTACGACCTTTCTGACCAAAATGGTCGCAATGGTTTAGGGTTTGGAGCCCCTCGAACAGCTTTTGACCAATTGGTCTGAAATGGTCATAGATCTATGACTAATTCTTCCAGGGTCACTGACAGAAGGTCACTAGTTGACATATTTCTTGTAGTGTGCTGCAAGCCGCAGATCGTGGAGGAAGCTGGCGGTGCTGCGGTGAGTTGTGCTGCTGCAAGGCTGATGACAAGCCGGCTTGCACGACGACGCGGCGCTGCGGGACCGAAGCAGGACGAACCCCATACAAAAACGATGAACGAATAAGATCTTCTCTACGTCAGGAGATTGAACCCCACGGGCATACCGGTTTTTATTACTCATTATTAGGAGAAAGGTGACCCTGCCGGAGTCCCTGCCGGACACCCCATGGGTGCACAAAGTAGTTTGTGTTAGAGATGGTTTCGGTTGTAGGAAGGATTAGATCAAAAAGTGGAAAGATTGGTGAAAGAAGAGGAAGGAGAACATGTTGGATCAAAGATGAGGAAGGAAACCTGATCTGCTGCGGAACTGCATCGATGTGCTATCACGGACGTCTCATGCAGAAAGAAAGAAGCAAAGTAGAGAGGAAGTAGCACATCGATCGATGATAAAAGAAGGAGACTCGGTCTGGTTGGTAACGCATCAAGTTTTTTATAGTAGAAGGAAGGCCCAGCCCAATTTGGAAAGCGACCGACGGCCCAACAATCTTTAACGCAATCAATCTTTCTCTAATAATAAATCAATCTCTAGTACCACCTTTCGCGTATATGTTTTAAATTCAAACTGAAAGCGTAAATTCATGGGAAAAAGTGTATTGTGACGGTGAACCCACGGAGTCAATCCGTGCTTTATTATTAAATTAAAATTAAAAAAATAGGGAAAGATTTGCCACAAGCATACACATGCGACTTTCAATGCAGCTTCTCCAGACCCACGCCTTATGGTAGTACACATTATTTGCAAGTTCAGCATACAACATATCTTGTTTATGATAGCAATCGCCAACCGTCTCACAAATATTTATATGCAGAGAACGTCTAGTTTAGCACACCTCTGTTCTTAACAGCAATGGTGCTGCAGATTGGGCCTCTGCAAGGATGGAAGCATAAGAGTCACTACAGGGAGCTTCAGAAAGATGGATGAAACATTACATCCATACCCTGTTCTAATGCCATGTACAGCAGTTCCAGAGACCACCGGTAATGAAACCAAAGACCCGTTTCTTGCACCATTCATGACATTGCAAAATTAATATATCCAATGGCAGGAGCAGAGTTCAGAGATTGGCAAAAACGGTGCCAACAGATAGCCGGTGCTGTAGATGCCCTAAGAACGACATGCAATGATCTCAGAGAGATAACAAAACCATCGATCATCTTGGACTACTACCAAGGAAAACAGAGGAGGCAGACGTTGCAAGTTCATTTAGAGTTTAAAATGTATCCCCTGAAACATAAGAGGGTTTCACTTTCCCAGGTACAAAACTAAATGACTAGTGAGTGCTAAATGAATACACCTGACCTCCGTCTACCGGGTTAAAAAAACTGATTTTTGTTTTAAGAAAAAACACTTGATATCCTAACTGAATGAATTGATGATCTCAATGGCACATTGCAATCTTAAAGTGTACATCAGTTAGCTAAAAAATAACTTACCAGGATCGGAAGAGCCGCCAAACCCGGGCTCCCAAGAATAAGGGACAAGGCCAAAGAGAAAACCAGGCCCCAACATTGTCTCCAGCCAAGTTTAAAGATGGATAGTGCTGGAATTTTTGTCTATTTAGACCTAGCCCAATAGCAGTTTCTGAAATTCCTAATAAATTCTAAAGGCCCACGCAGCCTATTCGTGCAAAGGCAAGAGGTGCAACTAAAGTTTAGTCCTACATTGCTAGTTTAGAAGGAGTTGGACCTCTTTATAAGGGAGACTCTTTCCCCACTTGTATGAGCATGAGAACAAGAGGGACATCCACGCGCGCACCTCCGCCGCCCGCCACGCCTCGCCTCGTCACGACGCGCCGCGGGTTGCGGGAATGAGCCGAGCCGATGTTAAATTTTTGCCACGCACGACGGGTATACGAATCGCTTCGTCTCCCTCTCTTCGTTTCGCCTCCCGTCGCTGCCCTCTCGCCTCCTTCTCTTGCGCCTATAAAAGGGAGGTCGCTCCTCTCAGAGAGACGCACCAGAATTTCTCCTTCCTCTCGCCACTGGTTCCAATCTCTGAGCTGACGCTCTCTTCTTGATCCCGGCTTGCGGCGTGCACCGCGAGTCGGGACAGTAGGCCTCCGAAATCGCACCTCTTTGAGTCTTGTACGGGAGAAGGGTGATAAGGTTTTTGGGGAGCGCTCTACGCGACTACTGACTTCTTCGTCACGGACGCCCCGGACTCCGACGACTACTTCCCCGACGATGACTACTACCCCGACGTCGACAACCTCCTCGACGACATGGAGGACACCGACCCCAAGTCCAGTGCCTCTGCTCCGGCTGATGTCCCGTACGTGTTCTTGTTTTTCCTGTTAGAGGTCCTGCCACAGTTCCTTATTCTAGTGTTTGCCCTAGACATGTTAGTATCTACCTCATATATGCATCTTGATCTACTGTCTGCTCGAGAGATGATCGGTTCTAGCTCATATATGCAGATGTTATTTACCTTCTCTTTGTCAAATCGCATGACTTGTTTTATCACTGCTATACTACTCATGCTTTATCTAGTATTTCTGTTAATAAAATCATTCGGTAAATTGCTCATATTTCCAACAGATAGTTCATTGATCAATGGTAAACCACGACTTCAGTATAATTCAACCAGGACACAATACTTTCATCACCCGTACCCTGTTCTAAGCCTTAGCAGCAACTTACAGGTGCTCCACAAACCGTCAGTAAGCAAATCGAAAAATCAATAAACCCGATTCTTCTCCAATACAAGACATTGCAAACTAACAAAGCTTATAGAGAAGGACATGGCGTGGTAATAGATTCAATGCCCGATTGTAGGAGCTAAACTTTGAAGTTGGCAAAAACAGGGCCGACATTACTAAGAAATTAAGCACCATATTACGTTGTTAAGAAGTAGTACAAGACTAGTACAAGAGAAGAACAAGTGGACACATAGACATAAGATAGCATCAAGCACAATAGATGTAGCATTAGCTAGGTAGTAGTAGTACTCATTGAGATAGAAATCAGTAGTTCCACCACAGGTGATCTATCCTATAAGCAACATGTGCCTTACCCGTAACAGGGCAAGGCAAACCAAAATAGCAAAATAAAATGACTAGGAACAATTACTACTTGGCAAAAGCATAACATTGTCGGTCGGTTGTCGAGATCACTGTCCCCACAGTTGACTTGTCGGCACCTTATGGCTTTTGTTAGAAGGGCAGTTGAGAATCTGGCATGTTAATGATGTAGCTGGAGAGAAGATGGATGATGGTGAAAGGACGGTCGGCGACGAGGACAAACTGATCGTCATGCTCCAAGAAATCGACATCTTCAGATATCACTTGGATCAAATTGAAGTTATACTTCCATATGCGAGCGGACCGATCCAGATGTCGAGTGAAGTAGACGCAGTTCGGCTCAATGCCTGGGAACTTATCAGCATCCACAGCCACACACCTCCGATGCCCAACGAAGATGGCAAACCTGCCGATGCTCCACATAGGCACGAGCTGGCGGGTCACGGTGTCAAATCTGAGAACACCGGGGAAGATGCTTGTACGTTTTCTGAAGACGAGCAACATGTGTCCATCCAATCCGACTAGAAAACATCGATCATCGTCTCCGTCATATGTGCAGCCGGAGAAAACATTGGCAAGCAACATGCTTGTACTCAAACCAGGCGGGAAATGATAGGCTGCCAGGTAGGTGATTAGAATAGCAAACGTGGCAGCTTTGTTCAAACTCGCGTACACACCACCATTCACGGCCGTCTTGAGTAAGAAATTATAATCTGGTCCACAATCAAGCACGGTGAAACTCTGACTATCGGGACTAGCCGTGTAATGTTGCGCATGAGACGAGTTGCAGATGAAAACGAGCTTGAGCGGAGAGCCATCACGAAAGACGACGTCAGCGGCACCCATCTGCGGAGGCATGGGTACCATGAAACGGACCACGGCACCGGTGAGAGGGTTGAGGACGCTGGCCGTGTGAGGAGGGCTCTTGTCCGCCAGCACTAAGTAGCCGCTGTGAGTGGTTGCCACGGCGTAGTGGTCGCGGAGCATGGGGAACTTTCTGCGGAGGAAGCGGCCGTTGTCGGTGTTGCACAGAAGCATATCTTCCCCCTCGCTCCGGAAGACCTCGTCGAGGAGGATCCACCGGCGCGGCTCGAAGCGGCGGTCGGAGCTGCTGTCCTTGGGGTCGTCGGTGGCGGCGCGCCAGCTGGGGCAGACGGCGCGCAAGTGCATGTAGCAGTCGAGGTCGTTGGTGGCGAGGAGGGAGTCGGCGATGCGGTGGACGAGGTCGGGTGGGAGGGTGGACCAGCCTGCGGCCGCAGTGGGGGGAAGAGCGGCCAGGTTTGGTGGCGAGTTGGAACCTCCTTCTTCCTCTTGGCAGGCGGGGGAACTCTGGCCGCCATTGCTGCGCGCTCGATCTTGGGAGAAATGGCGCCTGGGAGGGTGGGGATTGAGGGGGAGGGCTCTGAATCTAGGGTTCCGTCTGTCTAACAGAGATCGGGAGAGGAGACGAAGCTCAGCGCGCGTGAGAGTGAGACCTCATAAAAGCCCTGTTTTTTTTTCTCTGTTTTTCTTTCACATTCTTTCTGAATTTTCCCTTTCACATTTTTTGTTTATGGTCTTTGCTTTCCTTTTTTTACTTTAGATTATGCTTCCACATATTCTGAAAGTATATCTTAAATTTTTGAAACATGGGATCATTCATATGAAAAATGTTGTGTATAAAAAATGTTTTCAATGTATACGAAAAATGTATAAAAAATGTACAATGTGTATGGAGAAATGGTACACACATAAGATAATATGAGTTTTCAAAAAAAAAATCTTGCATTTGGAAAATGTTAAACGTGTATACATTTTTTTCCTTCTCTATGCAAAAAATGTACAACGTGTATGGAAAAAGTAGACACCAAAAAATACTACTACACTCGATAGAAATGTTAATCATGTATTTCTAAATTGTTAAACATGTGTATAAAACATTTCCTGGTGTGTAAAAGAAAAGTTCAATGCTTATGGAAAATGTAGACATGAGAAAATATATCTTTTAAAATGCTAATGATGTATTTCCAAAATGTTAGTCACCCTGGGGATCATTTGCGGTCACAATGACCGTCCTGGATAGACCTAGTGAGTGGATGGAAGTATGCGCGACCGATGTCTCTGGTTTCCTTGTTGTAGATATTTCTCAGTTCTTGGGAGCCCTGGGTGCGTCCTATACAGATTGAGGTAGATGATGCCCCGGTGGAGGCGAAAGAGCGATGGAGCACGTCCGTGGGTGAGCTGGTTGTAGGCAACAGTCGACGACTGACGGACTTATAGCATCTCTAG